TGGGGAGGAGGAGGAAGGGTACAGGGAGAAAGAAAGTGAAAGAAAGAATGAAGTAAAAAGGGGAGAAAGAAGAGAGGAAGGACAAGGGTAAGAGTGGGAGCATGAAGACAAGGAAAGGAAAAGGGGAAAAGGCACAGCAATACAAAGAAGGTGTTTGTGTGCACTGAGGATATTTGGCATCTGGATATGATTTTAGGCAACAGGTCACGGATCAAAAATAACCCTGGAAAATCGAGCCAGGTTTCAATCTCCTACTACACACCTACACACACACAAACACAAACACACAAATACAGCTGTCATTCACTTAACTTGCGTTATATAACTTTATACACAATCACATGTGCCCTAAATACAACACAATGCGCACCTCAAACAATAATCTTGCATTTGGCAGGTGGTTTTATGCGAACACACTGAACTGTGCCAACACGAACGTTTGGTATGTACACAAATCAAAGTGTAACGTACGAACACTGCGAGGAATTTACCACGCACATGCATTCGCTGCACAGCAATGATGATAGCAAAAGCTGTTTCCTGCAAATTAAGAACCTGCATCCCTACAGCGGCCCTGTCTCCTCGTATACACTTGTATACTACAATTAACCTTCGTTAACCTGGAAGTGTGACTGATACGATGTGATTCGTCGCGCTGCATTCTGCACCGGTACTGACCTGTGCAAGTGGCTTGGATCTGCCAGGACGTGACTGATTAAATATAGTTTCTGTGCTGTGTGCTCTTTGGCCACAGCAAATTTTATGATGACAAATCACTTCCATGCACCAAGGTTTTGATCTAAGTGGTAGAATAAGAGACTGCAGCTGTAGGCAGTGGCTATAGCAAAGTAAATTTACTGTGTAAGTACAATTTCACATGTATCTAGTTTACATGAGTAGATTTACTGTCAGGTACTTTTCTATTTTACTCCACAACATGTCTTACCAAATAGCTGTACTTTGTACAGCAGCATCACTGGTGAAGAAACACCTGAAATAGATTCCAAGGTGGTCGAGACTCAGCCATAGTGATGTATTAGACTGTGGCATTAGAGAATAGGCTCCACTCTGTACTTTTAGTGCTTTAAATGAATAAATAAGTTATAATTGGCTGTAGAGCTCTGTTTGGGAACCTCCCTGCCCTTTCACATGCAGCTGCAGAGGGCCTAAGTTAGGGAGAGCACACCTCCCTACCCTTCCCTGAGCCTTAACAGAAAGTGACGCAGGGAGAGCAGAAACTAAAACACCCCAACACAGAACACAGCATACATCAATGTCGACACATGACATTGATTAGGTCAGGATCAGTATGAAAAGGAGGTGCTGGGGTGGAGGAGGGTAGTGAAGTGGCTTGCAGTGGAAACAGGAAGAGTATAAGCAGCTTAAATAGGGATACAATATGAGCTCTGCCTGTTAAATGTGTAGGAGGGGATCAGCTGAGCCGTCAGCTGATGTGAGCTGGCACAGAGATATGCTGATGTCAACTGACATACTTGATTGAGGCCGAGCTTGACTTCATGCCTGAAGAAACGCTGTGCTCAATGTCTGGTATTTTCTAATGTCAGATTTTACTTTTTTAGTTCAAATTATGAGCTTTAAGTTATAATGTTTCCATGTATGTGTTTGACTGACTACAGTTGGAGTCAAATTAGCATGGCACAGGCCAATTTGGCTTTCCGTATAGAGCTTACATGTTGTTTGAGTGGGTGTTCTGCTCTCTGGGTACTGCAGCTTCCTTCCACAGTCCAAATACATGCAGATTGGGGTGAGTTTAATTGGAGACTATTTCACCAAAGGTGTAAATATAAGTGTGAAAGGTTGTTTGTCTTTGTCTCAACCTGTCCAGGGTGTACCTGGCCTCTTGCAGTATGTCAGCTGCCTCAAGGGATAAGCGCCATAGATCATGGATGGATGGGTACACCCTATTTACACCTTGTATGCTATCTGTACCTAAGCACATATTGTATCTGGCCTCTGCATTTACACTTGTATTAGCATGTGCAATGGGAGAAGCTGGCGAACAAAAATGTGTCAGACATCTTCCTATGATAGCAGGGAGTTCAGTGACTCCACCGATGGTTAGGACTAGTAATTGAGACTGCACAGGTTGCATTCACACACTGGTGAGATCTGATCACAATAAGGTTCAGATGACCTCCAGATGTGGTTCAGCTGATCTGATAGCGTTCCTATCCAGATGTGTTCTCCATGCATTGACACCTTGTGTTAATGTGGCTCTGCTGCTAATCCAGAGAGCCTATCCTGATATAGACTGCAGGTTAATATCAGGTGCATCTGGGGTCAAAGGGAAAAAATCCCTGGAGGAAAAAACAGCCGAGTGTGAATGGAAGAAATTGGGAAAATCTCTGTCAGATGTTGCAGGGCCTTCCTCACCCTTTGAATCACCCCTGCAACTCTCTCACTCTCTCTGTCTCCCCCTCTTTCCTCTCATACTCTCTCTTTCTCTCCCTGGCTGCAATTATGCTTGTGTAAACAAAAGAGACCAGAGAGAGACAAAAGGAATTCCAGTTGGGCCTGTGGGAGCAGTGAAGCTTACACAATCACAATTACACAGAATGACACACAAGTACACAGATGATCTACGACTAAAACTGGTACCTTCCAACAATTTCATATGCATCCTCTGAGTATCCATTATTAATCAGTGTATATTCTCATTATAAACTTTGTGTAATCATTTGTGTGTGCTACTATAGTGAAGCATCATCCAACAGTTGTGTTCAACCTCCCACACTTTTAATAATGAGACACACTAACCTGCTCATGGTACTCGATCCCCATACTCAGAGTATTGATCAGAATGGCGATCATAATCCCACGTCCGAAATACTTGCTGTCCACGATCTTCCTGAACGTGTCACACACCAGCCTCCAGAAGTGAACGACCTTTGCTGCCGTTTTGCCCAGCCTGCACTGCTTCTTTTTGGGCTGACGGCTGTCTCTCCTGTCCCTGAGGTGGAGGTCCTGGGTGAACTCGTATACGCCCTCGCTGTCCGAGTCGCCTGCTGTGTCGATGCCGCCCTCCGATTCGTGGGCCAGAGCCTTGGCGCAGTAGGGGCAGCTCTCGGGGTCCAATGTCAAAGCGGCCGTGTCCATGGTGCTGAGGTCACGAGCTGACAGCTGGCAGGAGAGCTGGGCTGCAGCAGAGCGACAGAGGTCAGATGCTGAAACTTGACAAAGAAGGGAGTCATTATTTTCAACATCTGCACAACCTGAAACAGACCTAGCCTGACTTTTGCAGATAAAGCTGGCTGCGAGCTTGGGCATGAGGGATTAATATTCAGTGAATGGAATTAGTACACTTTCTGTCTCTCGCGAAGGAAAAAACAACAACTCTGGACTGTGTTGTCGTTTGAAGCTTAATCAAGACAACTCAACTGCAGGAAATGGAACATTTCCAGTTGTGTGTCACTTGATTTACTCCAACTCTGAAATTGAAATTAAACACTAGCTCCGAGTTAATGAGATACTCTTCTATTTTCAAACCCCATTATGCTTTCCAGGTTTTTTTCTTAATGGAAGTTGCTCAGCAAAGCAAACCCTATCCAACACAGCCACCTCAAAAGGAATGGAGAGAATGGAGCTAATTAAACACGTTCAAGGTTTGTCTTCATTTTCGCTTGACTGTGTTTTTCAGGAGTTCATCCCTGTTTGTTTGTGGTGAGTTGTCTACCTGTGGGGTTTTGTGTGTCCACCAGAGTCGATGGCCGTCTCCCCAGGGGCATGGGTGGGATATTGAGGTTGAAGCTGATGTTTGTCAGAGTGCTGGCTGCAACACTTCCTCGTCTAGACTCTGCTAGGGCCCGGGCCTGTAGGGTGGGATAGTTTTTAGGACCTGGTGCAGCGAAGGGCACAGAGTTCCTTTTCATGGCCCTTGATGCAGGAGCAGGGGCCAAGGTGAAGGAGCTCGGAGTTGGTGCGGGCGATGGGGTGCAGCCAAGAGTTTCCACGTTGGATACACTGCGCACTGAAGCTGAATCGGCAGCACCTACAGCAGGGTTGGACGAAGTGGCTAGGTTTGAATCAGAGGTGGCTGCTGTCACAGTAGATGGGGACACCAAAGCAAGATGTCCGCTGCCAGTTGTTGCAACAAGAGCCCCTCCGTTGTTATTATGAGCTCCAGCTTCCACATCCCTACCCTCCATACAGTGGAGGCTCCCTCCTCCCCTCACACTGCCATTTCTCAGGTGGTAGTGGTGGTGGTGGTGGTGATGATGGTGCATCATGTGATGAATAGACACAGATCCCTGCCTGGAGGACTTTCTCCTCCTCCGCTGACTACGTTGAGGCTCCGTGGCTGGGGGCGAGGCGGCTATGTTGAGCCCAGCACGGCGAGCCAAGAGCCTGCAGACATGGGCCACTTGTTTGGCCCCTTTGCGGATGATGTGAACCAGGTACTTGAGGAGCTCATCATAGCAGGAGCCTGGCTCGGAGAGGGAGGCCAGAGTGCTGGCGTTGGACAGGAAGCGCACCCGCTGCTCCTTCATCAGCTGGCTCTCCCGCTGCTTGGTCTCGGAGAACTGAGTGGCAATGACCACCAGGCACAGATTGATCATGAAGAATGAGCCAATCTAAAGACAAGGAGGAGTAGATGACATTGTTATTCTCTCACAACAGATGCTCTCACACCCGTCTCCCCACCGACCCACTTGTTCAATCACTAGCACACAGCTGGTGGCACCATAAAGCCAAACTTACAATGATGAGCAGGATGAAGTAGATAAAGTTGTAGAAGGAGTGAGCATCCATCACAAAGTACATGATGTCCACCCAGCCCTCCAGAGTGATCACCTGAAGAGAAACACAGTGCAGAGAAAATAAGGGGTAATAATAAATTATCAGACAACACTAAAGAGAAATGAAGAAAACTGGACAGAATTAAAAAGACGGATTAAAAAACACCACAGTTCACAGTTCAGTGTTGCAAATGCCAAGACTCAGCAGAAGACTCATCCTCAACATTCCTCCTATGCGCTTCACTGGGAGAACTCATCTCCAATCTGGCTTTCATCCTCCAAAATTACCCCCTTCAGCTAGACAGCAATGACTGAACACTCCGACAAAAGGCTTTTCACATGATGTGGAGATAGCAAACAAATGGCGTGGAAAAATGAAACTGCGGTCGGGTGGTGTGGCTGTGGAAACTTGCTAATCCTGTAAGCCCTTTTCCTCTGATGCACCAGCCACTGGGGCGATTTGTCTCCATCTTGAAAAACAGGCTTGCGTCAACTAAACCATACTGTATGTGCTTCACTGTAGAGATTGTTCATTTCATCTGCTGTTTGGAAATCCTACTATTCTGGAGGCGTGATGAGCTGTCTTACCTGAAAGATGGCAATCCAGGCGTAGCAGATGTTGTCAAAGTTGATGGCTCCCTTGAAAGGGTTGCAGTTACCAGCAGAGCAGTTGGTGTAGTACTGGTTCCAGTTGACGCAAGAGGTGTTGTCGGTGCTGTTGTAGAAGTCCATGTCCAGGTTGCACTGCAGGCCTCCCTCATAGAGCTTAGGCACCGTGCTGCAGTCCCTCATGCCATTGTCCCGGCGCTGAGAGCAGATGAAGGGGTTCTCGTCGTCATTCTCAGTGTGGTAGTAGGTAGTAAGTAACTTCTCCGACTTCACAGCCAGAGGGCTTTGGGGAGAAGGAACAGGTCATAACTTTAAGACTACAAATATATGTAAGTTCATTTACTGTTTAATTAGACACACACACACACACACACACACATACACACAAGATGTGTCCAATGTTTGTGTGTCGGTGCTATGAAAAAAGAGAAATTTCAGTTGTCATGTGATGATGAGTGCTTATATTGTGGCAGAGGCAACAAACAAATCAGTGTATGGACACTGATGGGAATATAAATATGTTGGGGCAGGTCAGAGGAAGTCAGCTGAGAAGTTGTAGTTCATACGTGGCCCGAGGCAAACTTGTGTTTGCACAGTCAAAAGAATGTAGCCACATGCGTCCCAGACCAGCTTTAAATGTGGTTTGAGTGATCGGATCTCAGGACGCATTGAGGACGATTTTCCCTGCGTTCAGACCTGAACTTGGAGCTCAACACTTGCCATGGGATTGCTCAGGATGGATGTTGAAACCAGGTCTGAACAAGGTCTATGTCACTTTGGTTGAATAGCTGCCGCTGTGACACCAATTGGTGATTATTACACTTACACAACAGTAACATTTTAAAACTTAATTGTCCATTATTCTCGAGATTTACTTGACATGATCCTGAGGCGGCCTGACTTCTCTGTGACATGGTAAAACATATTGTTCGGTAATAGAGACATTGAACATATAAGAAAAGACTTGTGTCAGCTGAATATCAGCAATATAGATTTAGCTGTGGGCAGCTTCACTTGAAGTATGTGTGTATGTGTGTGTATGTGTGTGTATGTGTGTGTATATGTGTGTGTGTGTGTGTGTGTGTGTGTGTATGTGTGTGTGTGCGTGTGTGTGCGTGTGTGTGTGTAGAAATGTTACCTCCAGATGCTGACAAGTGAAAATTAACCAAAACTGCTTTTATGTTTATGTAAAGGACAAAAGACAGAGAGAGTGGTGGCCAACTAATGCTAATCTGTGAACACTGTAACACTATGTAACATCAGTAACAACCACGACAATCCTACTACTAAAACTACTGTTACCAAGACCAGACCGACTGATTAAGTGCAGCTGCCTCTGCTGCCAGAATGAAGCAATCAAGTCGAGATGCTTCTGATTTTTAATTTGTTCAAACACTGGGCAGAATTTTAAATGGTCTCAAGTTTGAAGCCCCAAACATTCAGCAGGTTTTAATTTCACGCAACGAGTCCAGCAGCTGACAGATTAACACTGTAATCTGCAGAGCTGTAATCGTGTTGACAAACCTGAGGCCAAATGGCCAGAGAGGCCTCCGTGTATGTTGTAAGAGTTGGATGGATGTGTAATGTGGACACAACTTCTGGGCATATCTGTTTAAATGCACTCATCCGGTGTGTGTGTGTGTGTGTGTGTGTGTGTGTGTGTGATGAGCATCACCTATTATAAAAAATTTAAAATAACTTTGGGGACAATATCCATTCAAACAAATAAATTTAAACTATGAGTAGTGTTTGTTTGGACTGTGGTTGCTAACTGGTTCTCTAACCTTTAATTAGCTACTTTCCCAAAGCAATATAACATGTAGCAGTAATATACTGCAGCAGATATTAAACCAGACATTCATCTGACAAAAAAAATCCACATTTATGAAGGTCTGAAAACTGATGATGACAGAAAATGGACTACCTCACCAACGCCAGTATGCATGAATTTAAATTACAGCTGTGAGATGTCATAAATCCTATACAGAGATATGAAGCCAAGATGAACATGATTAAGTCATGGGAGCCCATATTCCACATACCATGGGCTCTTTTTTCATTATACCAGGGCCTGTCTGTCTCCCATTCATCATTGTGATGAGACACTATAATCACCAACGTCATTGAGTCTGGTGCATGACCTAGTTTAGTGTGCAGGGTTAAGGTTGCTTCACAGTTTTACCTTGACCTCCAAGAAACCTGTTGGAAATGTCAGTTGTTCACCTGAGCTCTATTAGTAAAATAAGACAGATGAACAGATACATCTGTCACCTTGTGCGCCTTTGGAGTAAATAATTATTTGATCAATAGAAGTTATTGAAGGACAATACCCTCTCTTAATCGAAGCACACAAAGAAGCACTTTTTTCTTAGTGATATTGTCACTTCAGATCTGATCTCAGCAGCTACTTTGGTAAATGGTAAATATTCTATTTATATAGCAGCTTTTCTAGTCTTGATGGCCACTCAAATTGCTTTTACAGTACAGTTTTGCCATTTACACACACATT